GCTGGAGTGAGTTGCCGGGGGGGCGGACGAACTCGCTGCCGGCCGCCTGGGCTGTGGAGGGACGGCTGCCATCCGTGAGGGAGCGGAGGAGTCGCCGCCGTTCGCCTGAGGCCGGAGCCTGCTGCCATCCACCATGATGGGGAGGAGCAGGGAACGGGGGACTCCTGCTGGCTGCCCGAACCCGGAGGAGCCGTCGCCGTCCACCGGGCGGCGGAGGAGTGTCGGGCCAGCTATCCAGCGCCGCACCAGGCATCGCGGAAGAGTTTACCCAGCTGGTGGAGGGCCGAGCGGCAGTGTGTCTGGGAACCGGAACAATAATTTTTTTTGTTTCCTCTCTTCCCTCTCTCGTCTTTGTCTATTCTCATCCTTCCGTCTCCTTTTCTCTCGCTTCATCTGTCTGTCCTTACCCCCAGGTACGCCGCAGACACCGTGATCGGCTCCCCCGGAAGGGAGGGGGGGGGAGTAGAGCGCAGTCTCGGGAGTACCCCCCAGGCCTGCGAGGGGCGATGGGGGTATGTGATGAGTGGGGTGGGGCCGAGAGCCGTGGGAACGGAGTGAGGCCGGTGGAGTTAATGATAATGTGCGACACCTGCACCACTCACCGGTCTCGAGTCCCACGGAGGAGCTCCGGAAAGATAAGAGGAGTGACGACAGTGAAGGACGAGAGAGGACCAGACCTGGATTTTATTTTGTGTTTTGGTTCTGTTTGTGCGTGACAGTCGTCTGCGAGGGGCTGTCGCGCTATTTTGTGTTTATTTTATTATCAAAGTTTTGTTTAAACATTCACCGGTGCCCACCTCCTTCTTCCCGATCTACAAACTTTGTTACAGTCATCCAAAGGCAGAGTGCAGTATCTGTATTTTGGTGGTCAAAGGTCACATCAGTGGTCATGTTATTTTATCTATAAAAAATGTAATCCTAAGAAGGCTTTAAATGAATGCATTGCCACTAATCTACCCACAACAGGTTTGACTGCCTGATGTAAAAACTTTAAAGGCATTTTTCTCAGTTTCAGTGTTTGTGTAGTTACTGCACTTTGCTTTTGTTGGGCAGTATACTTCAGGTACACTTTAAATATCTTGCATTTAAAGACCGATATTATTCAAAGATCATACAGTCCTCTTCAACATTGACATTAAAACACATTTTAGGTTTAATAACCAGGAAAATATTATATATACTCATATATTTTTATGCTTACTTTTCTAATATTAAAGTTTCATTATGTACAAATCAAAACACATACTTGTACTTTTGATTTGTGAAAGAACTCCTCGCTTTTACTGGCTTTAGGACATAAAGGACACTGTCTTGTACGTGGTTCTCAAGGATGATTTACTGATTCTGAATGGGTGAGATATGAAAAATAATTTCACTGAAAAAGAATTATCACAGTTTTTGAATGAGCAACTTAACCTCCTCGCTTTTTGAAATGTGAGATTTCATTTGACATAATTTACATTTACATTTATTCATTTAGCAGACGCTTTTATCCAAAGCGACTTACAATTGGGGAATACACCAAGCCATTCATCACAGGAAGTGCTCGTCATAGCAAGTTTCAAGCATTGTTCAAAAAAGTACAAGCTAGACAGAGAAAGATTTTTTTTAGGATGAAGTCAGATAGTGACAAAAGAGGTGAGTTTTCAGCTGTCGCTTGAAAAATGTCAGGGAATCAGCATTCCGGATAGGGG